GGAAAGACTGTAACTATTTTGAGATAGCTGTCTGGGTTAAATCATGTGGAGAACTGCAGCAGTAACGAACATGATACAAACGAGTTTGCCCACAAATGTAACAGGAAGATGAAACCAGACACTTGCAGATGCCTTCATTTATGAGTAATGATGATTGTGCCCAAGTGGAAAAGGTTTAACTGGCATCCAGCTCACTGTTACCAGCCTAAGTCTTCAACGTGTGCATAGAAGAAAAGGGTTTTATAAGGCTGAGGGGAACGATGGGTTTAAAAGGTTGAGGCTAACTTCAAATGCAGAGAAGGAGCTAGGTGCTTCACTTAGATGGAGATGCATACCAAAATGACCAGAGACAAGTGGATAAAGTTGAAGCAAAGAAACTTCCCATCTGATGAATAGAAATCCTCATAACGAAGGTGGTCTAACATCAGAACTGGCTACCCAGAGATGCTGTGCAACCAGCACACTGTATGTGTTCATGGGTTGGCAGGGCCTCCAGCAATGCCATTTGCCTGCAGAGCCTGGGCCAGAGGAGCTCCAGGGGCCTCTTCCACCCTGACCACTCTGAGTCCCTTTACTGGCATCTACACAAGCTGCAGACAGTCCCAACTTTCACTGCTGCACAAGTCCCTGCTGGTCTGCTTTGCTATTCAATGTTTTTGTGGGTTTCACTGTTACAGTTGTGGAAAATGAAAGAGGGGGAGAATCATTAATCATTTGCTTAAACAATGCACGTAAAATCTGTTAGGCAACAGAGGCATAAGGGAGGAGTACGACTGTCTTGTAACAAGTACAGTACATGACTGATGACACAGCTCTGACACTGAGGAAATTCTAGTCATAAAACAAGACAGAACAAGCGTAAAGGACAAAGGCAAGGGAGCTGTCAGACAGAGAAAGTCAGGAGATTAATGAGAAGATGCAGTTGTACACACAGTAAAAGCTGAAGCTTGTCCTGAATTCACTGAATCTGTAACAAATTATCAGGTAACTAATCCTCAAGTTACACTGGGGGGAGCTATATACCTGTCACAAATTAAACATAGTAAATGCCATTTTCTGTGATTGCTGGTATAAAATGCTCTGAATGCTCTGTATAACATTTCTTAGATACTTTTTTGCAGAGGAAACTAAGCTATAGATAAGACATATGGAAGGTAAACTGACTCAGCATCAAAGTGTTAAAGAAGTTCCATGGCTTCACACGTTTGTGCTTGAGTACAAGCAAGATTTTCTCAGGACTTCTTACCTTGTTTTCAGATGGCTTCATGATTTGTGGTTTTGATGCATCCACAGAGGGAGACTGCATCTGAGAGAAAAAAAAAGATTAACTTCAGCTTTGTTATACATACTTCTATTAAGCAGCCCTAAACAATCTGAATTCACTAGTTTCTCAGCTGAAAATTAGGAATAAATTATTACTGAAAATTAGAGCTTGCATTTCAGGTCTTCCATCTTGCCTGTATTTCTACAATACATGTATGTAGGATTGACGGTGTGACGCTGCCCAGAGACCTCCTTAGAACATTACTTCTGTTCTCTGACAGCGAAATTCCCACATTCCTATATATCAGGCAACCCTTCTGGAACTCCGCAAAGGATATGGTCTGTTTCCCAAGTTTCAGTAATATTAATCCAAGAACAGCATGTTGCACTTCTGTTGTGACTCCATCAAAGCCCAGAACTGAATATTCCAGTTGCCTCATCAATACTTTATACAGATGTAACATTACTCCTCTATTCCTGCTTCATGTTCCTCTGCTCAAAGCTGTATTTGTCATCTCAATCATAGTAATGCATTCACAGATCACATCTAAATGAACACAAGTTATCAGTTTTTCTAGATTTTCTCTTCATGTTTACCATGCCACTTGCTGTATGAGAACACTTGTCTGAATGAACTCAGAAGTCGTATCACTATTCCACACCTAGAGTGACTTCCTACTGCCACGTGGAAAATGTTTTCATTCCCGTAACTCTTCACAGTACAAACATTTCTGAGCAGTAAGAGAAAAGCTCTACAGAATTTAAAAGTACACTATGATGAGGACAGCATGCTCCCCCTACCAGCACATTTGGCATCTCACTCACCTTAATGAGAGGTTTGACTACTCTAAATATATACTAGAGAGAATTTGCAATTGCTACACTATGGAAACATAAGTGAGTAATATCTGCTTCCATAAACGTATGTACATATAGATTGACTACATAATAGATGGAAACTGTTGTATGGGTGGAGACATACGCAGGAATGTACAGAGCCTCCTACATCAGGGCAGAGAACAAAAGGTTTTAAATAACCTTTTCATACATTTCCACTACCACCATCAGGTAATCTGTAGGCAACATGACATTTTTTCTTTGCTCTTTAATAGCTTTTCCTCTCCTTTTCTTTCATCCGCATGAAATTACTTTGGATTCCTTCTACATGAATAATGAGTAAGTACCTGTTCTACACCTTCTGCTTAGTCACCCTAGTCTGTATCCATTTAATGCAAACATTTATACGAGTTCTTCTTCCTTCCTCCCCAGCCACTGAATACTGAAAAATTATTTCCCAAGTCCCAGTACAGCAGCACCACTTCAACCTGCAGAGATTAATGAAAACCTCCCAAAACCCTTCTGCTGCTTCCTTCTACCCTGTCCAGCTGGAGGGCAGTGACTAGCAAAGACAAAGAAATGAAGACTGTAAATGCTCATGGAGGAAGAGGAGCAGTTTGGAAATAGAAAACAGTTCAATGCATGGCTGCTGATCAGTGGCTGAGGAGAACACCAAGCCATCCTCTCTGCACTCTCAGGGATGACTGAGAACAAAGTCCTGTCCTGAGGAGCTATAGGGAGGAAGTAGAAGAGGTAGGAGGAGCACAGGACACCCTCCTGCAGACCACCACTGCGTGTACCACTGTGACCTTCCAGCACACCATCACATAATCACAGAATCACTCAGGTTGGAAAAAACCTCTCAGATCATCAAGTCCAACCTATGACCTAACACCACCATGTCAACTAGACCATGGCACCAAGTGCCATGTCCAGTCTCTCCTTAAACACCTTCAGGGATGGTGATTCCTCCACCTCTCTGGACAGTCCATTCCAGTGTCTAATTACCCTTTCTGTGAAGAAATTGTGGTTGTAACCTCCTTTCAGGGAGTTGTAGAGAGTTACAAGGTCACCCTTGAGCCTCCTCTTCTCCAGGCTAAACACCCCCAGCTCCCTCAGCCTCTCCTCATAGCACTTCTGCTCGAGTCCCTTCACCAGCCTCATTGCTCTTCTCTGGACCTGCTCCAGCACCTCAATATCCTTTCTGAAGTAACAGGCCCGGAACTAGACACAGGACTGGAGTACCACAGAGTGCCTCACTTCACTTAGAACACTTTCTGCTTGAATTCCACAATATTCATGACCTTCGATTTTCCACTCTCTCCCAGTGAAGAGACACCACAAGGAAGGAGGAGGTCCTTGCTCTTCCAGCCCCTTAGCAAGCAGGGTGTGCAGCCATCAGCCTCACAAACAACTCAAGAGGCTGCTGAGGTCCAACATCTCATCTGGTCACCATCACAGCCCCTGCCAGCACCAGCCTGGCTCTGGAGCACAACCTCTTACCATGGAGTGTTCTGATGCTCCTCTCCCAAGAGCCCTGTGCCGATTTCAGCCGTGCCCAGCTGTTCCCTGGCTGTGTTTGCTTCAGCCTGACAGTTGGACTGCAGAAAGGGTGAAGCAACACACAGAGACGTGTGTCAGGCGTGGAGGTAAATATTAAAGTGTTGCCTGGCAACCAGCATAGTAACTGCCTGACGCAGAGCTGCCGTGCTGCTGTGGCCAGGACAGGCACACCCTACTTGCACCGGGCACGGTGAGCCTTGGGCCAAACACCCTGTCACAGCAAGGATGGGCTGCACACAGCAAAGCAAGAACAAGGAGGGTTCAATGGGACCAGGAGGTTGGGGCTGGGCAGGGAAAGCCAGGAGGTGCTGCACAGAGTGTTTCTGTCAGGGATCCCTGGAGGCAGAGCCAACAGCACAGGGAAAGACAAGTGTGATCAGTGCTGATGCCTGTTCTCCCGTGGCTGCATTCCCATGGGTCCTGCCTGAAAAGAGACATGAGTGGTGGAGGGTGACATGCCAGCCCTGGGGGCAGACAGGGGTCCCAGACTGAGGGGGGACTGCCACACAGCTTTTCTGTGAGTTGAGAGCAGAGGCAAATCCACAGCAAAGCATTCAGGACCACAGGTATCCACCAGCTGGGAGCACATGGAGATGCTCCCTGCAGAGGAACATAAACCAGTTTAGGACTCCCACAGCCACCACAGAGGGGCTTAAAAGACAGTGAAGAGGTTACAAGATAACACAAATTAACACCTATTAATTACCGTACCCTGCCAGCAGAGCTGTCAGGAGACAGGCAGTGTGACAGCTTGGGGTCTGTGCTGGTTTGAGCTGAAGTAGAGTTAACTTTCTTCACAGAGGCTAGTATGGGGCTATGTTTGGGTTTTGTGCAGAACACAGAGTTGATAATGCAGAGATGTTTTTGTTATTGCTGAGCAGAGCTTACACAGAGCCAAGGCCTTTGCTGCTTTCCATACTGCCACACTGGCAAGGAAGTTGGGGGTGCATGGGAGACTGGGAGGAGACACAGCTGGGACAGGTGACCCAAACTGACCAAAGGGATATTCCATACCATAGGACATCATGCTCAGTATATAAGGTGGGAGGAAGAAGGAGGAAGGAGGGACATCTGGAGTGATGGTGTTTGTCTTCCCGAGGAACTATTACGTTTCCATACTGCCACACTGGCAAGGAAGTTGGGGGTGCATGGGAGACTGGGAGGAGACACAGCTGGGACAGGTGACCCAAACTGACCAAAGGGATATTCCATACCATAGGACATCATGCTCAGTATATAAGGTGGGAGGAAGAAGGAGGAAGGAGGGACATCTGGAGTGATGGTGTTTGTCTTCCCGAGGAACTATTACGCGTGACGGGGCCCTGCTGGAGATGGCTTGGCTAAACACCTCCTGTCTTTGGGAAGCAGTGAATTAATTCCTTGTTTTGCTCTGCTTGTATGTGCAGCTTTTGCTTTCTCTATTAAACTGTCTTTATCTCAACCCATGAGTTTTTGTAGCTTTTACCCTTCTGATTCGCTTCCCCATCCCATGGGTGGGGGAGTGAGTGAGTGGCTGCATCGTGGTTCTTGGCTGCTGCTGGGGTTAAACCACGACAGGGTCACAGACTGTGTGTGCTCTCACCAGCCCACACAGCAGGCAGGACAGGCACAGGAACTGACCAAAGAAGCTCAGGTGCTCTTGAGTTAAAGGCTTTCCAGGAAGGGCTGATGAGGACACCTGGGGTCTAATTTGGTAAGAGAAGGAATAACCTGGAAACTCATTTGTCAAATTAGCAGGACAGACTTCATACTACTGTTCAAAGAGAACAGTCACAGAAGCCAAAAAGGAGGCTAGTAAAAACAAAACACATAAAAAACTACCAAAAATTGGTTATCTAGTCTCACTGTGTGTACCTTGGAAATCTGTATGTAAAAAGAGAAAGTGCAACAGGAGAAGAAAAATAAGGTAATTGTGACAAACATCAAAAGAAAACCATTTTAACTGCTCAGAGAATTAGATGCAGATGCTTCTTGGAAAAAGAAAACAGCAGGTGACGAAATCCGTGAGAGCTCTCAATTATGGAGAGCTAAAAATAATTGAAAGTACCCCATATGTAATGCAATGAGAACTACTGTCAACTAAAACTATAAATTCTGGAAATTCATGAAGAAAACTCATCAGACTAAGGAAGGTCATTGCCCAACCCCAGAAAGGAGCACAATGCACCAAGTGGAAACCTTCAAAACCAGAAGAGATGATGAAAACATTCACCAAGCAACCCATAGAGAAACACTTAGATAACAAGAGAATAAATAAGAATCAACAGATTGGTCAAGAATAAAGAAAAAACCTCCACAGGAGGACATGCTGCCATTGCAACTTTGCACAGCACTTGAGGTGACATTTAACACAAGATTGCAAGCTTGTTTTCAGCCAGCTTCCAGCAGGAACAAATCAAAGAGCTCCTGAAGGATCTCTGACACTGGTGGCAGGTTGAAGATCAGACACAGTTACAGAAAACCCCAAACACCACCAAACCCTGCCAGACAGGAAGCAAATGCTGATAAAAGTATGTAAGGCTATAATGCCTCAGGCTGAGATACTCTTGCCAAAAAACAAACAAGGGAAGAGGAATGGGGGGGGGGGGACACCTTTACCTTTTTTTTTGGAATCTGTTACCATGACAACATAAATATCAATAA